AACGGAGACCAGAAGACGGCCTGAGAATGCTATCTCTCAGACATCAAGCCTGCGGCAGCTGCAGTCGTACAGGGCCAAGAGCCAATTGACCTTGATGAGGTCAAGGACGACCATCCAGCCCCACCAGCCGTTAAAAAGCGAAAGCCTAATCCGCCGGTGGTGGTCAAAAAAGAAAAGCAATAGCAATCAATGACCGGGGAGAGGTCAGATGACCTCCGTCCCCAGCCGGCTAGTGAGCATACTGATATTCCTCTGGACGACAGTCGTCCAGAGCGAACTATTAAGGTGGGGACGGCTGATTTTGCTAAGTTGGGCACAAGTCTGCACCAACTGTTGAAAGAATTAAAAGACATTTTTTCCTTTGAAGTGGAGGAGATGCCAGACATCAGCCCGGATCTTGTTGTCCACAAACTCGCTGTGGATCCCAAAAAGAAGCTCATTCGGCAAAAGAAAAAAAAACCATGGCGAGGAAAGAAGTCAGGCGGCAGCCGCCGAAGTTAAAAAGCTATTAGACGCTGGGTTCATTCGGCCATGTAGCTTCCCTGACTGGGTTGCAAATGTTTTGCTTTTAAAGAAGCCGAATGGCACCTGGCGCATGTGTGTAGATTACACTAACTTGAACAGAGCATGTCCGAAGGATAGTTATCCACTTCCAAAGATCGACAGTCTTGTCGACTCCACAGCCGGACATGCCCTGATGAGTTTTATGGATGCCTATTCAGGCTTTCATCAGATTTCCCTGTGGAAAAAGGATCAAGAAAAGACGGAATTTGTCACTGATCAGGGGTTATTCTGTTACAATGTGATGTTGTTTGGTTTGAAGAATGCGCCTGCTACCTTCCAACGAATTATTAATACAGTCTTCATTAATCAGATTGGGAGGAACGTAGAGGCATACATTGATGATATGATAGTCAAATCCAAACAATAGGCGGATCACCCGTCTGACCTCCGAGAAATATTCGCCACACTCAGGCGGCATAAGGTCATGCTTAATCCAAAAAGTGTGTCTTTGGTGATAAGTCTGGGAAGTTTCTCAGATTCCTGATTGACCAAAGGGGGATTGAGGCCAACCCTGAAAAAATACAGGCGGTAATCAACATGCAATCACCCCGTTCTGTAAAGGAAGTTAAAAAACTAATAGGTTGTCTGGCAGCTCTGGGAAGATTTCTCAAATGGTCAGGTGACAAATGTCTCTATTTCTTCCAGGCGATCAGGAATAAGACTAGATTTGAATGGGGGGAGGATGCTGAAGCCGCCTTCCAAAAGCTGAAAACGCATTTGCACTCTTTGCTAAGGTTGGTCAGCCCCTTGCTCAAAGAAGTGCTCTATATGTATTTGGCAGTTTCAGATTATGCCCATAGTGATGTACTCTTAACTGAAAGAGACGGCATCAAGATCCCGGTCTACTTCATTAGCCACGTTCTCAGAAACGCAGAGCTTCGATACCCCATGGTTGAAAAATTTGGTTTCGCCCTTTACATGGCTGTCAAGAAGTTAAAACCATACTTCTTGGCGCATCCGGTTACAGTCTATAGTGACCAACCGATCAAGCGTCCAATGACAACCCCGGAGTCTTCTTGACGAATGCTCAAATGGGCTATTGAACTACAGGGACTGGAAATCGCTTTCGAACCAAGGAAGGCACTAAAGGGGCAAGCATTCACCGACTTTATTGTTGAAATGACAAGGTCGGCTGAGCCGGATCATATCAATAAGGTTTGGAAAGTGTATGTGGACAGAAGCTCCACGATGAACGGCTGTGGTGCAGGCGTAATTTGTCAGTCTCCTGAGGGGGAAAAATATGAATATCCACTACGGTTCAAGTTCCAAGCCTCAAATAATGAGGCCGAGTATGAAGCTCTGTTAGCCGGCATTCGGATGTGCAAGGCGGCAGAGGCAACAAGAATTGACGCCTGCTCTGACTCTCAATTGGTAGTAAGCCAATACAATGGTATCTATGAAGCCACCCATCCGGCTATGATCAAATATTTGCAGGCGGTCAAGGCTTAAGCTGGAACACTTGAAGACTTTAAGTTAAGTTAAGTGCCCAGATCAAAGAATAATTAGGCGGATGCTCTGTCCAAGCTGGCTTCATCCGGCTCCTGTGAAACGCCTCGGTCAGTCTTCTGGGAAGTCATGGAAAAGAGAAGTATATCTGATGAAGACCCCATTGGAGTACTCGACCGAAGCTCCACCTGGATGGATAACTCCAATGGGGTCGACTGGAGAGACCCCATTCCTCATGGCGTATGGGGCAGAAGTTATCTTGCCCATTAAACATTATGAGCCGACTCTTCGGATTATGTTATATAATGAAGAGGCAAACTGGGAGGCCATGCGCCTGGCATTGGATTCACTCCCAGAACGCATGGGCAATGCTTCCCTGCACCATGAAATCTACCGTATGAGAATGACTCGAGCGTACAATAAAAGAGTACACAAGCGCCCTTTAAAAGTTGGGGACTTCGTGTTACGGAAAATGGAGGCAGTCGATAAGGCGAATGAACAAGGGAAACAAATTCCAAATGAGGAAGGCCCTTACCGAATCTATGATGAAGTAAGAGGCGGCACCTACCGCCTGGAAACACCAGACGGTAGGAGGCTTCCCCGAACCTGGAATGTAGATAATCTAAAGAAGTATTACTTCTGAAATTTTGTAAAGTTTTTTGACTTGTTAATGAAATTTTGCCTTCATTTTCATACTTGTCTTTATTTACTTTGAGTACCAGCTGCACACAGTGTAGAGAAACCGACTCATAACCATGAAGGATGTCGCCTGTGCTGGCGGATCCTACTTACCCATTATGGTACCAACTGCATAATGTGCAGGCGGACCAAAATCTTTAAAAAAGCAACGATGGAGCACCGCCTGCACAATGTGTAGACGGCCAATCTACGAGATACCGCCTGCCCAATGGACAAACGACTAAGCACATTGTTAATCTAAATATAATTTTGGGATCGTCTGCTCCAACAGCAGACGCCCAAAAGATAATCTGACTGCACCAAAGCAGTCGGCCTTAAACTTATGCTTAAGCTAAGTTAATAACTTAGTAGCTAACGTCTAAGTGACAAAGAGGTCAATGGTCGGATGAAAAACTAAGTTAAGAATCGAAGCCCAATCGAAGTCCAAGCCTCGAGGTGGAATCGAGCCCGATCGGGCAAGCCTTCGCTTGATCGAGCGAGCGCGCAACTAAGGTGTTGCTAGCAAGGCCAAGGCGCGCCCAATCGGGTAAGCATTAGCTCGATCGGGCGCAGCTGCTTAGAAGAGAACGTGAAGAAAAAGGCGGGCCCGATCGAGCGCGTGTTTCTGGAGCAGCTAATTTGACGAGCACTTAGTTTCTAATTAGAAGTGTTTTTAAAGTTTGTTTTAAGTACGATTTAGTACTATATTTTTGGGTTTACTTCTTCTCTTAGACTTTCTCTCTCTACTTAGCTTTAGATTAGTTTCTCTCTCTACAACTTTGTTCTTAATTCAACTCCTTAATTTAGATTATTTTGGTAACGATTTATTTTACTTTAATCTTAGTTATTTACTTTATTTCTTTCATCATGTCTCCTTTAATTGTTTTGTTTAGTTTATATTTAATTATGTCTGAGTAGTTTCCTTTCTAAGGTTTATGGGAATCCATAAATAATATGAAGGGGTAATTTATTGTTGTTGATTATCAATGCTAGATTAATTTCCTATTGATTGATTTAATGCTCTGTGACTAGATTATGCCTGATCTTTTATGCATGAGTTTGACAATATTGATTCGAGATTCGAGAGATGAGAATCGATGTTTAGGTCTAGTTTCAATAGGCAGGTTTATTTATAAATGGTTATGTCGAGATTCGAGAGATGAGATTTAATACCGATAAATTAATTCTGTGATTGTAATACGTAGCGAAAGCCCTTTATGATATTATTAATTTATGCATTGATGATTGATTGTTATGTTTTACCCTGGAATATTGTTTATTGTTGAACCTATGCCCTAGGTCTTTTATTCATTGATTTTCTCTATTCTTATTCTTTTCTACTTTTACTCTCCGTAGTTTAGTTTCCTTTCACCATAATATTATTTTGTTACTTAATAATTTAGATTGCTTTAATTAATTAGGAATAGAAAGACCAGTTTCTTTGTGGATTCGACCCTACTTCCCTATTTGCATTAGTTAGAGGATTTAGGAATTACTTTTGATTGGGTGATGCGAATTTAGCCTGTCATTGAGTCACTTTATTTGCTTCCCCTTTTACCTTTATGTGAGACATTAAGTTTCCTTTAAGCTTGAGTACTTAGTGTATGATGTCAATATCTATGTGTTCTCTGATCTCTCATTCTTTCCCCTAGCTGAACGAATATGGAGATTCAAAGTCAACAAAGGCTATACCTCCCAAAGCATGTTCAAAGGCAAGTATAGGGGTGAGCATAATAGAGTGTGATGTTCAAATTCTTGGAACCCAAATCGAAACCTAAACCAGCCACCTGGTGACAAGACCAGCTAGTAGTCTAATACTAATTGTCTTAGTATTATTAAACCAGCCCAATATAAGACTCTCTCCAATGGTGAGACTCAAGTGAGTATTTTTAGGAGAGAGAGAGAATATTTTTTACAATGTATACCAATAAGTTGGTATTTAAAATTAGCAAATCTAAAATAAAGTTGCTAAGTTTAGATACTCAACTTTGATTCTCATTTGACAAAAGATGTGGGCCCATTGTCAACATTCTAATGTATTTTGTAATTTATTTAAGTTTTACCTGTTTTTTTTAATCTTACAATATTTGATAATAAAAAAGAAATGAATTTGGTGAGCCATAAATTGAAGTGATATTTGTATATTTTAGAGAGTCTCATTATTGGGAAATTAGACTTCACATGAGTATAAAATCACCATTAGAGGTAAAAAAAACAACTCATTTTATATTTCAATAGTCAAATTTAAGTTTCACCATTAGAGATGGTCTTAAAAAAAAATATATAACCCCCATTTAAAGCCTCTACAAAATGGGCTAGCAATCTTGTCAAATTGGACTCTCCCGAAAAAAAAAAAAAAAAAAAAAACCGATTCGTTCTCCATTGTTTTCATTGTTAGAGAGAGAAAGAAGTTGAAGGAAGAAGGTACAACAATGGCGACCTCTCTACAAAGAGCTGGTCTCAGACTAACTCATCTTAGCCGATCTGCGCTCATTTCAACTAAGTCCTTCTCATCTCAAGCCGATTCTTTAGTCGAATCTCGCCCTGGTGAGATCGGCGTCGTCGCTGGAATCCCCGAAGAACACCTTCGTCGTCGAGTATGATTTTTTGCGTTTTTATTTTATTTTATTAATTCGTCAATTATTATTCGTTTTGAACTGTTTTATGCTCGTATTGATTGTTAATTAAGGTTATGGTTAGAATTTGGTATTTTGTGACATTGTTAGAAGGTTGTCATATTGTTTTTTGGTTGAAAATTAGTGATTTTGGATTGAAATGATTAGAATCAATGGAGATGCATATTCTTTTGTCATTGATGATGAGAATTAAAGGAATGTTATCGGGTTTAGTATGTGGTTCCGAATGCTGAGTTTGCTGTTCAACGTGTATTGATTTTGATGGAAGGTTAGGTTAATTGATCATGATAAAAAAGCAATTCGCTATTGAGGACTGAGCTATGGTTTAAAGTTAGAGGAGTACGATTTCCATTATACACTATTGTAGGTACTCCTAAGGGCATCCGTGGAATCCCAACAGCCACCTTGACAGAGGTCAAATGGACACCACCTTGGGCATCACAATTCTGGAAGCTTTAATAGCGCTTAATTTTCGTTCATCTATCTCTTCAATTGATGACTCCAATTTGAGATCATTGCTATTGATTATTGTGAACGGAAAGGCTTCTCAACTCCGTTGGCTTTGGCGGCCGCTGTATGTTTCTGTGGAGTAGTTGTGTTGTCGTCTAGCTTCTTCTGTTGAGAGGACGCGTATCGAGATGGCGGAAGTGAAACGTAGCAGGGAGAATGGAGGGTATAATAGAGAATTAGAGAGAAGAGAGTTGTATTTGTGGGGGAATAATCACACTAGCGGGTATGTGGGTAACTATTAACCCTATTTTTAAGGGAACAAGCTTACCCTAATAACCAATTACTCCAAAAATTGACTAAAAAAAGTCAAAATTATTTTTCCATTATATTTTCCCTTCCCTTTACACCTATTCCAGACAGGGAGTAATATTTTCTTTTCTATGGATTTGTAACAATCTTGGCTTAGGACAAACTACTTTCGATCTTTGTTACAAGACAACCAACGTTTGGCCATAAACATGCATTGCCCTTCTGGAAGGATCAGAAACCCTAAGCCCTGTACTTTCTTTCAAATAAAATCATCAATTAATGGCTCCAGTTTCAGATCATTGTTTATATAAGCCCAAATCGGTCAGCTTGTCATTCCCATTGGATGCCTTTGGTAGCAGAAAATGCTTTTGTATTGGATGTTGGGTGGGGGAGCGAGAGATATGGAGGTGAAGGAAAAAGAAAAAAGTTGAAGAGAAGGGAGAGTATAGCAGAGATGAGAGCTAATATTCAAGGGAATAATTACTTTATTTGGGGGAGGGGGGGGGGGAATGGGGGTATTGGTAACTATTACTAATACCCCACCAACTAGTTACTTAAATCCAATCTTTTAAAAAAGTTAAAATCATTGTATCATTACTCTCCCCCCGCCCCCCCTAAATACCCGTTCAAAGCATGCCCTAAGAGATTTTTCTAATTTGGAGTGCTCTAATTAGCAAAATTAAATCTCCTATTGAAAAAATGAGTAGATAAACATACCTTTTTGTATAATGGATGTGAAGTGAGGAATGTTTGGGGTTTTGACTTTTGGTATGTGGTTTTGAATTATGAAGTTTGCCATTTTAATGCTTGTCAAGGAGGTGTAAGGGTGCGTTCTATTCACTGGATTTTTACTTATCTGAACTTATTTGAACTTATTAACCCTTATTAGAACTTATTTTAGTTATAAATTAAACTTTGGTAGCCCTGGTTAACCTTTATCACATCTTATCTGAACTTATTTTTCCTGAACTTTTCTTATCTAACTTATCTGAACTTATTAACCCTTATCTGTACTTATCAAACCGGAAATAAGTGGAGATAAGGTGAACAGGGCCTAAGTTTGTTGTTCTTGAAGACCACAATTTAGTGGTGACCCAAAATTATCATGGGATTGTGTTACTCTCATTTTTTCTACTTGGAAGAATTGGTTAACATTTATGGATTCTTGAAAGCTACTATGGTCCTTTTACTTGGGTATGGTAAAAGTGGTGCCTTGTTTGAAGAAGCTTTTGACGTCTTAGGACTTTTTGGTTAGTTTGGGAATTAACTTTGTATAGGAATCTCCATTCCTAGGAATTACACTTATGTGTTTGGTTGTTATGTGGGAAATTGTAAATCCTAGGAATAGTAAAATAGTGAATAATGACCAAGGGTAGGGTGGGTGAATATATTCCCATGAATTGTAACTTCCATTTTTGCCTTTTAGTGTCACTAGTGTTTGAAATAGCGGGCGCATGGCGCTACGGGGTAAGCGTTTAACTTGGTCGGGGCGAGGCGTGTGTGGTTAGGTGCTAGTTAGGCGCATATGCGGCACACTTAAAGCAAATATCAGCCAAAATTCTTAATTGTTCATATAGTGCGCCTCACTTCAAAGAGGCGCACGTAGGCGCTGCTGGACCCATCTTGCTTTAGCGCGCCTTGAGCTTTTTTATACATTGATGTCAACAAACACAACATGGACAAAAAGAAATTCATGGGAAATTTGAGTGTCTATGGAACTTAAGGGCAATTAATTAGCACCTTATAGAATAAAAAAGCTTAGGGATATGTTGTCTTTCGTCAATAGCAGATTGTTCATGTTATATCATACCTATACTAGTTTTATCTTCTAAGGTGTTGTTTGGTTGGCTTAATTTCTTATGGGCATTCAAAATTCCCATGAATTTCATTTTAGACTTGTTGACACAAAAAAATAAAAAGAAAAAATGGGGGCAAAGACAATTCATGGGAATTTTGACTTCCCTTAAAACATGGGAATTAACTTACCCGACCACCCCTTGGTAAGTTACAATTCCTATGGAAATTTACTTCCTCCATTTTCAACCTAACAAATTTGATGAATTCCCATGATTTTGATAAAGGAATTCAATTCCTACAAATTGAAATTTCATGGGAATTTTCACTTCCCTAATGAACTAAATGACCCCTAAGTACAATATGGATATATTCACTCAAGGTTGAATTTTGAAGAAAAGTGTGAGTCTAGATGAAGATGTTGTTTTCAACCTTAGATAAATCATATATGCTGCTGAGGCGTAAGTGGAGAAAGCATGGATTATTTGGATGTGTGCTACGACTCAGGTTCTGTTTAAAAACTAATACCCTCATTAGGAAATTAAGACAGAAAACAAGATTATAAGGGTTGGCTTGGGCTGTAATCATAGGAATTAATAAATTCAAGCTATTAATATCAGACTTTAAGGGTATGATTCCTCCGGATTGTGTTTCACTCAATACTTTCTCCAATTTTTACTTATTATTGCAAGTCTTCCCCTATTAATACTCCTACTCCTTGCTGCTTACTTTCCATCATTACAGAATCCCCTGAATTTTCGGTAACCACCTAACAACTGATTCAACAACTTGCGAGTTGTGGTTAATTATTGATTGTTGCTGGCTTCCTCCTCGAGTATGTGTGAATAATAGGGAGTCTGTTATAATTTCTTGCAATGTGTAATTTTGATGTGGCGCTGCTGCTTTTTTTGTGTTAAAAGTTGCTTGGAAATGCACTGTACCTTACATCATTACCTTTTTAAACATGTGTACTTTGTGTATTTACTATTTTAGCTGGTTTCAGCAGAATCTGCCATCAATTTTATCCTGCATGTTATATATGGATATGGGATGTGACTCATCTTTGTTGGACAATGCATTTGGCCCATGCTTGGAACTTATAGATCTCTATGTTCCAGCAATGCTGGTGATAGAGCAGGTTGACTAGAGCTTGTTGCAGCTTAGCTGTTTAGGTGACAATTCTGCTCGTTTCTCATAACCTAAGCAAGAAATGGCTAGACACTATTAGTTTGTGATTTGTCATATATGTCATTAATTGATCAAAACCAAATTGAATTTCAGATTATGATTGTTGGTGTTAGCAGATACGTATGGTATTTCATATATTACTATAGTCTGGCTTGTTATCTGATGAAACTAACTTAATTGTCGCTTTGCTATTTGATGATAAACCTTCTGTATTTCCAATATAGTATCTGCTCTTTGGCAGCTATCTAATATAATTAAAGCTCACTGGTGATTAGAAAGCAGCATGCTATTGGGTTTTGGTGCCTTTAGTTGCATCTGTCCATTTAATGGATTTGAACCTATATATTCCATTGCTTATCCTTAGTTATAATCTTATTTTTCCCCGTGTTGTGCTTGTTGTAACCACGTACTTGTTTGAAAGTTAACATTTTCCTCTGGTTTACGTTAATTCTTCCTTAATCATTGTAAATTATGAGCGCAGGTTGTGATTTACTCACCTGCTCGCGTTGCAACACAGCAAGGTGCTGGCAAAGTTGGGAAGTGGAAGATCAACTTCCTTTCGACACAAAAGTAGGTCACTAGGCTATAATTCTCCAATAAATAGTTATTCAGTAGTCAATTTTGAATTTTGCAGTGTCACAATGGGATTATAATTTACTTTTTTGATTTGTTAAGCTTGTAAACAAAAGTCTAGTCAATCTAGTATACTGTGTATGTTCCAGAAAATATGGTACATGGTGTGAAAGAATCATAGTGATGGTATAACTTAAAAGGTTCTTTGCTACTGGGTTTTTTATTTCCAGTGACATTAAGCGTATAGTGTATAGTGTCTGGATACAACCTTAAAGGTCTTCTACGCCTGGTTTGGGTCTTAGAGAGTGAACTTCTGTGATATTGAGAGCCATGAGAGGTATTCATACTAAAGTTAGGGATTTTTGCTGTATGTTGAATTATGATGATTTTTTAGGGACCCAAAGACTTTTTGCATGTACAGTCTGAGTTACTCTGATGGATGGTATTGTGTCTATTGTGTAGTTAGTTGCGTAGTTATCTTACTTCCTTGCATCTTTTTTATTGAACATTATCTTTGTCTTTGTAATATCCTTAAGGTGGGAGAATCCATTGATGGGATGGACATCCACTGGAGACCCTTATGCCAATGTTGGTGAATCAGCACTGACTTTCAACAGTGAAGAAGATGCAAAAGCCTTTGCTGAGAGACATGGATGGCAATATGAGGTGTGTTTTGTATTAATATTTGTAAACTGTCTTTGTCCATCCTTTTACTCATGCTTCTTTTTGCTTCTTTAAACATAAGTTGTACTTCACAATGGGTGGATCCCTCAAATAAAAAAATTCTCAGATGATGTGTGCTATTTATACAAGATAAATAAATTTCTCTGTTAATGTATGTATGCTATTATTTGATTTAAAAATTATGTCGTTATCCATGTCTCTTCTCTTGATGATCTTTTATTTTAAGTTATATATGTAGGGTGTGCTCTTATCAATTTATTGAAACTGATTAGACCTTATTAGAACTTCTTTTAGTTCTAAATTAAACTTAGTTCTTATCAACCCTTGTCACAATTATTATGACTTATTTTCCCTAAATTTATCTTATTTAAACATTTCTTTTCTTGAAATTAGTGAAAATTAGGTGTACACATCAGGCCTGCAGTATGTATTAATTTAAATATGCCGTTATTTATTTCTCTTCTCTTCTCTTCTCTTGAGGTTCTTTTAGTTAAACTAATACATGTAATATGTTAACCAAGTAGCTTCACACTAGGTTATAATCAGCAAAATTTGCTCTGACTTGCCAACTTGTGTAAGCTGTTATTTGAGAAAAGTGAGTAAGCAAATTTCCAAAAATGACTTAAACTTTCAGACCCATGGTTTTAGTGGATTAGTTGATCTATTAAATGAAAGCAAGATAAATCATAACAGGAAGTAATAAAATGATGGGATTTATGAGGCTAAGGCAAGCTTAATTTTATGGTCATTGATCAGTCCACTTGGTTTACACACCATGACACAGTACTTATTTTAGGACTTCCAAGTCTTCAACAGACCATAATCATTCCCTAGGTGATGATGTCTCAATAGTTACACATGATAATTGGAGTTATTTATTTCATGTTTTTTTTGGGAGCTTACATACATATTTAGTTTGTTGGAGGTAAAGCAAATTTTAAATGCATTGGACTTAAGGACTTAGTTTTTAATTCTTATGATTAACTTCTCTTTTCATTAGCATTAGATATTCGATCTTAAGTCCCCTTAAATAAATGTTCTAGGGGGGCTAGGGTATTGGTGAAAGTCAACTGTTAATAATTGTGTTTATGGTTACTGCCTGTTGCATAGTTTTTGAAGTATGTATGAAACTTACTATTTTGGGGGGTGTACCTTTAAAACACGAGTTTCTTGGAAAGACAAGAAGTCAAGGACTATAAGATTGTCGCAGGAATGCTTGTATCTTTGGACAGGTAGAAACAATTAAATTTGTTTGGGAGAAGTATATGCTTTAGTCATAGTTTACAACACCATTTGATCAAATTTTTTTATAGTAATGTAGATTGAAATTTTCCTAGAGTCAATTATTTCATTTTGGTAAAGACTTTAAACCTTTAGGCATTTGTGTTTACTTCATTCTTATAAAGGCAATAAGAAAAAATAAATTAAAAAAAAAAGGTGAACTAAACACTATAAAGGACAATTCCCTATCCCTTTCTTGTGGACCTGCTTAAAAAGCCTAAATATCTAAATTCAGTCATCAACTAATTGGAAATTGTGATGTATACTTAGGGCTTTAGATCATGCTTATCGCATAGTGGAGTCTATAACATAATTTGTAGAAGGATTGTAGTTATAGATTGAATTTGTTATAGGTCTTCTACTTTAGGTTATATTATTTGTGTTACTACGTATATTATTTGTGCTCATGTACAATTTAAGGATTTGGCTACGATATGTGATCCTCATTTCTGTTCAACTTTCTGAATCTTTTTTGCTGCCAAGGTGAAATTGACAAATTCTACTCTGCTGGAAAAGTTGTATGTTCATGCCATTGTTACATTAGAAATGTGTTATTGTTTTACTTCTTTGGGCTGGCTGAGATATTATTATATCGTCTATCAAATAGTGACATGTTTGGCATACTATGTCCATCTTTGAATACAATATAGTTGGCCTTGAGGAGTGCATGTTCTTTTTATTTTTTCCCCCCTCCCCTGTTTCAATTTTCCTTTTCTCTTAATCTTTCTCTGCCTCTGGGTAATACTGGTTGTTGAACTTTTCTGTGCAGGTAAAAAAGCGTCACACACCACTTCTGAAGGTGAGCTTGTTAATCTCATTTACAGCTTTTTTAATTTCCAGAGTTTGCAATCCATTCTTTTCCTTGATAAAGTCTGTCTTTAACTAATCAATTTATCAACTAATCATATAATCAACCAAGATTTATGATTTTTATGTGAAGACTTTCTGAGAGTGCTGCGATTTCTATTCAAATATTGGAGCATCATGGAACTGGTTTTGAAATCTTTTTTACCTCTTTCTCTCATTTTAGGCCTACATATATGTCGTGAGGGGGGGAGGGATCGGGGATTGAAAGACATGAAGGTTCTAGAGTGAAACTAGAAATTACAAAGCACCCCTAGATCCTGGGAGAGCATGGGGACAATGGGGCGTCCTACCAAAAATGATTTCGGCCATGTGGTCTTGTATTCTTGTTGGAGGCAGATTCTTCTTTCCGGCTTAACCTTAATTATTGAATCATCTCTGTTTAATTTATTAACTGTGGCTTAACCTTAATTATTGAATCATCTCTGTTTAATTTATTAACTGTTATTTTGACTCTGAGGGCAGATCTGCATCTTAAAGTTTGAAAAGTAGACCACAAATCTGTGCCTTACCTTCTTTGTAGATAGATAGGATGATGACATGGCGTGCTTTAGCTTCCTTTGGTCTTTAAATGCATTGGAATTCTTAAACTTGATTTAGATAGCCAATTATGGTATTTTGATTGAACCTTTCTTAAGTGTGGGGCTGATAGCTCAGTTTAACCCCTTCAAACTTCTATATAAGTTGTGATTGTATAGAGAATGAAATGGTCGGTATTTTTGTTAAATTTACTTCCATGTGTTAAGTGTTCATAACTACTGAAGGAATATATCATTCTTATTGAAATTTCCTGTCATCATTGGCATGAATAGGCCTAATTTTGTTCTGCGCCCTTATTGCAGCCTAAAGCATACGCAGACAATTTCAAGTGGAAGGGTCCTCCGATCCAGGAAAGCTAGACTTCTTTCGTTGTTATGAGGATGAAATGCTTTAATTCGTTGTTCGTCGATTGTGCATTTTCCTTTCTTTTGCTGGATAATAATTGTAATGCACCACCCACTGGCATTTGCATAGTGCTACGGCAGAAGAACACTGCCAATTTCTTGTACTGTTCAGTTGGAACTTTGTAGAATTTTCAAGAGCCATGAAATATACTTGTCTTTGAACTAGTAGTACAACATATCACTTGTATGAGGCTAATAGTTTATTCATATCATATACAGTACTTATTAAGTTACATATTATCTATGCTTTCTAATGTTCCTTTCCAATTGGCTTGATTTTCGAATAAAATATGGAGTTGAAGCCGATGGTGGGACGGTATATACATTATAGGGTATCCATTGAAAACTTCTGGAGCTAAAAAAATAAGTGGAAGAATATTAACCTCATGCTTTCGCAGTCGGGCTATTTGGGTCGCGTCATTTCATGTTATGTTATTATGTTCGGGTTGGGTTGGGTTGGGTTTAGTGTCTACCATCTAGTGTAATGTTATGTCTTAAATGAGTAGTTTATTTTTTCATTTTTATTTTTGAAATAAAAAAAAATGAGTAGTTTATAGTATTCAATATTCAATTATTATTATTATTATTATCATCATCATAACATATCACTTATATATAAAGTCGGTCTCGCAACCAAGCCACGAGACAATAAAACTTAGCATTGCAGTTTTTCGCCAAGTGTCGAGCCAGGTAGGCGAAAAATAGGTATTGTTATGTAGGATGCTAAGTAGCGAATTTTGGATAATTTTTTTAAAAAAATGTTGTATAGTGTATTATTATAGATATACTTCTAATAATTCATATAAATAAAATTAATCAGAATTTTTAATTAAAAAATCTTATAACTCACTACTATTTTCCATCATAATATGTGTTTTAAAAATTTCTTTAAATTGAGATCCATTTATAATATATTTTTTTAAAAAAAGAATAAAAAATCGGTAAAAACAAGTTTTAATCAGTAAAAATAATTTAGTTTGGTAATAATACTCCAGTTCATTAGAAATAGTTTAAGTACAATAGAAAATTTTAAGTTAATAATAATATAAATATTTATTTACAAATAAAATTATAAAAAAGTACACTATTATATAAATAAGCGATATGATATTGTATGTCTAAATATTTTACATTATCAAAAGGGATTATATGACCGTATTTAACATTGAAGTTAAAACATTTAATTAGGTTAATTCAGGCATCGCCCGGACACAAAACTAATAACGAATATATAAAGCTAAACTTTTAGCCAGACCATGAGACAATGACACTCTAATTTTCCGACAAGTGTCACTCCATATAAGCAAAAATTAATTATAAGTATGACACATAGGATGTACTCCCTCCGTCCCTATTTGATGACCACTTATTCCATTTTTTGTGCTCCAAAATGTTAGTCACATTTGCTTTTTTTTCAAGTAACATTAATATTAATTTTTACTAAAATTCTCTCCAATTTGCAAAAAAATATTTGTGCAAATTTAACTTTCCCATGTAAATTTTGCTTTTCCATATACTTAATTTACTTTATCCCTCTACTTTTTTGCATACCCAATGTAAGTTTACTTTTTCAATGTACTTTTGATATTTCTTATTCATGTTTATTAATTCCAGTGAAAATTGCCCAAAATTGACTATCCAATAGGGATGTACGGAGTATTTAATTTTTTTTTATTATTATTATAAGCCAAAAGTTGGATATATTTTGTTGAGTAAAGCATAAATACGGTCCCTGAACTTTTGTATTTGTGCACTTTTAATCCCTCTTGGTCCCTCAACCACCACTTTTGGTGTTTCTGACCAAAAAGTTGAGAGACTTATCCTAGTCAGCAAAAGTTTAGGGACCATGAGTCAAATTTTTTTTTTTTTTTTTCTCTTTTATTTTGTAAGAATTTTAATTACAAAGGAATCTTTCTAACTGATTTGGCAAATGGTATGATGAGAAATAGTTTAGGGACTTAATCTCTTTCCTCTTTCTCATCTCTAATCCCCCACCCTCAATTTTCTCTCTCCTCCCTTCTTCCATGACTTACGGTGAAAAACCATCAAACCCAAAGCCTAAAAAGACCATTTCAGAAACACAAATGACACACACAATAGGACAAATTAATAATTTCATACGTACATCTCAAAACCAAAAAAAAAAAAAAAAAACTCAATCCCTAAAAAAAAAAAAAAAAAGAAAAAGAAAATCATCCCAAAAACACCTCATATGGCTAATCCACCTTTGGTGGCGATTACCACCATCCACCTCCTATCACTACCATTAAAACCACTACTCACCACCCCACCAAAATTACCAAACCACCCTTCAACCTTAAATGCAAAATCAATCATGGCTTACTTGTACTCCCACAGTCCTACTGCTGTCACTACTTCTACTTGTAGTAAACTAGCACAAACTACTCATTCCTTAAAATCTCCACCATTTTCTGAATCAAAACCTAGAAAATTGACAAATTTAGGAGAGAGAAAATTGGATTACAGTAGAATTAAAAGGACTTCCGAATCTGGAATTAAAATTGCATAGGTTGATGAAACTTTTAGGTTTGTAATGATGGTGGTTGTAATGTAAAGAGAGGCTTCAACGGTAGAGGATCGGAGATGGCGAGAGAGTTGGTTGTAACACCCCCAAATCTCCCTCTACGGAAATACTAATATAATACGTATAATTATACCGTAGAGATTGACTTAGGCGTATTACCGCCGCGTGATTACGCAAGGCTACTCAACTTACTAAAAATAAACCAATACTTAGCAGCGGAAACTTTAATACTCTTCTTTATTAATAATAACCATAATAGTAACCAATGTTATGAGTACTCAAAATAGATACAAGACCAAATTTCTAATTTAGTGAAAACCAATCCCGGGACTCCAATGCATCATTTATTGACTCCAACCTGAAAATAAGCAACACTGCTTACCATTACGGTAAACAGGGCGAACCAAAACAAATAAGAAGTACGAGTTAGCAAAATATGCTAAGTACGGTAAGTGCAAGATAATTAAACTCAATTTATTCCCAAACATGCTTTAAAACCAATTTCCAATAAATAATCCAATAATTCCAAACTCATGGTTTAATTAAAACCAATTCTCAATAATTCCAATATCAATAATCAATAAAACCAAATCCAATTATTTTAAAACCAATTCCTCGTATTAAAACCAATTCCTCTCCCAAGTGTGCACACCCCCCAAGCTAGTCTCCTTATGTTACAAGGCTATTATTGAGGAAAGACCCGGTCATGCAAAGTCCAAGGCCTTATCAATAAAACAAATCCACATAATGGGATTACCAACATGCTTATAAAGCATAAATAATAATAAATCCATGATTCAATAAATCCTCTTTTAAATCCAATAATTCAACCTTTAATAATAATAATTTAAACTCCTTTTCCATAAATCCAACTTGCTTTCAAAATCAATCATTTTTAAACATGAATAATAAATTAATTAATCAAAACATGTTATAAAAATCAATACTCAAATTTAATTATTAAAACCAATCTTTTAAACATACTTTTATTTCATAAACCATAATTCAATTCAATTTAATTCAAACAACATAAATCATTCAAACATGTTATTCAAATCGATCACTTTCAAGGTATCTAGCCACCTAACGTACCTTGATCTTCACTTAGCCAACAACACTTCAAAAGAACTCTCAAGTAGCTTGATCAAAAACACCCTACAAATAAATATAACCTTAATCAATATAAGGTTAACAAATAATCACAAATAATTAAATTAAACCCTCCCAACTAAATGTACATGAGCCTCTTAAATTAATTCAACATGAACATTATTAAAATCTGATTTTATATAATTAAAACTACTCATAATAATTTTATATTAATCTCCCATAATAATAATGATAATAATTGAATAAAAGAAAAGGAGAAGAAAAGAATTGGATTTGCGTAGGAAATAAAAGACAGAACTTTCAGAGGCTATAACTCCTTTGATATAGCTCCGAATTGGGTGATTCTTGAGCCTAACCTCAAGGAGTTTTTGATAGGAACAATGTTCTATGAAACATCACTATCCCAAAAACTGACCATAAGTGCCCGAAAATTGGCTTCAAAGATGAACGGGATGATTTGTGTAAAATTGAGGAGAAGAAAAAGAAGAGAATTGGTGTGAAGAATGTGAGAGGTATGAAGGGGTATTTATAGGCTAGTATGAGCATGAATTATGGTAGGAAAATGTAGAAAGAATTATGGTAATTAGGGTTTAAGAGATTACTTGGAGAAGTGAGCAAAGATTTAAGGAAAGTTTTGATATTTGAAGGGATTGTGTATAGTTGAATATGGAAGGTATGTATGTCATGAAAAATGTTAAGGAAATTGGAATTGCTTGGGGAATAATTAAGAAGAATGAATGGCAGGAAAATATAATAATTGGATATCAAAAAGATGAAGAATTAGAATTATGGAAAATAGGAGATTTAAGGGAGATAATTAAAAATACAAATTACCAAAATATTTTTCCCAAAATCTTTATGGGATGGCCGAAATTATTGAGCTTTCCTAAGCTCATATTTTCAGCCTTCCTATTTAGTATTTAGGAATATATTTTGCTAGTTTAAAGGAATTAAAAATAATTGTGTAAATAATATTTATTGTAATAAATAATTAAATAATAAAATACCAAATATTCACCAAATAATTTAACTAATAAAATCAGATTTTATACATAAGAAAATCTGAAATTATTAGCTAAATAAATGGGATTTTCGGACTTATTAAAATAATAATAAAATATAGCTTTTGCCTTAATTAAAATATCCGAAATATATAAATAATCCAGTTTTTAAAATAGGATAAATGGATAATAAATCTTATCCAAAATAATGATTAGTTTTCAAAATACTTTTGGCGCCAAAATTCAAATATCATTTTGGCTCCAAGATTTAAATAGTAAATTGAATTACTAAAATACCCTTTTTAGAAAATAATAATTAATTAGAAAAATACGTATGAAAATACGGGGTATTACAGTGGTAGTGGTGAAAGAGTTTGAGTGTGATATGTGCCATTTATGGCACCTTTATGCTATGTTTTCTTTATATTTCTATTCTCGTTTTTAGTCGTTTATATCGTGTTTTTAGGGAATAATGCTTGATTTGCGTGTTAGTTTAGAGAAATGCGTGCTTTTAATGGTTTTCTTATTATTTTATTCATTTCTCGGCTATTTCCCTCGCTTCTCCGTTTGTTTGACTTGTTTTGTAGG